CTCTCTCTCTCTCTGTCTCTCTCTCTCTATTGTGTGTATATATATGTATATTAGGATGGGCCGACAACAAATTTTTTTTGAAAATCGATTTGTAATATCTCCCAAAACTTAACTACGAACCTCAATATAGTCTGGGTAAAATTTTATCGAAATCGATTAATATCTTCAGGTTGCCTCTCAACTTTAAAATTAGTAAGTTTATGCATTTCTTACAAATTTTTAAAGCAACTGTGTGTTTTATTTACACCAATCGATTTATCTACTCATTAATCTGTGCCTAAAAATATTAGGTACCATTATCAAGAAATTAATAGTTTACGAAATATTTTATATTGTATATCGAAATATGGCATGATAAAGTATGTTTATGATGGTTCGCTCGTGCGACCTTTTCAGAAGGACCGGTGATCAAGGTGGTTTAAAAAAGGTAGACTTCACGGTTTCTTTATAACTTAACAAATGCACTGCTTTATTAACTAAAGTTCGAATTCAAGGCGGGCACCTCAGTCTTGTCCGATACCGCGGGGAATGCGATCAGCGTAAACAAGTCGCGCGCGACAACGATCCTGCAGTAACCGCTATTAACGCGGGGTAATGCCGTTCGTGTGAAACTTGAACGTTGAATCGTAATGGAATCGTTAACGGTTCGCACTCGTTCCACTATCGCGACAAGATCCGAACTTGAACAGCTACCGCGTTGACTCACAAGCAAAAGTTAATTTGGCGCGAAAACCGTGCTAAGCTGCCGGCTCTTCCGCAGAACAAACTCGTAGATGCGCAAACGACGAGAGTGAAATTGGTGTGTTTGCTTCGGTAGCGAATAACTGACTTGTCAGCGCAGTCGGGGAGCGGGTGCGAACAGCTGTTTTCGAAATCCTATGACAGCGAGAGTGGGGGATGGTCTGTGATGTCGCTCGCTACCTGTGCGTGGTGAGCGATAGCGACAGTAACATGTACACGAGGCGAATTCTATACAAAGTATAAAATATCTCGTAAAATATTGATTTTTCGATAACTTTTCCTATATTTTTATATGCAAAATAATTAGAAAAATCGTGTTATGTAAAAAAATATATAATTCTGTTTAAAAAAATCGATGTGATCTTGATCTGATCTTAACGCTACCCCCCAAAAAAATCAATGATATTTTCTTATGTCCTCCTCCGAACTGTACAATTTTTATTTAAAATATTTTTTCATATCTATCATATTTTTTGAGAAATCTTAATATATTATTTTAAAATATATTTCGGATCCGTCATTTTGAAATGTATATTTCTGACCTCGAATTTGTGTTCAACTACCAAAAAACAACAGGTAATACTAAACTGTATTGAAATTCAAATTTTATTTTTTCGAATTTTGACACATCTATGAAGAAATGTATAAACTTACTAACTGCAAGGTCGAGGGGCAACCTGCACCTCTATGAAGATATTTATCGATTTCGATGAGATTTTACCCAAACCATATTGAGGTTCATAGCTTACTTTTGGGGGGTATTATTAATCGATTTAAAAAAAAAATTTATTTTGGCCTACCCTAAGATATAGTATATATGGGCTATTCCACGTGAAACGGATCAGTCATCTCTCAGAAATTTTTTTAATTTTGCATATAGTACTCTGGGAGATAAAATTTTGTGCCAAAGGATTTTTTTATTGCAAAATTGATCGAGATATAAACAATTAAAAATTAGACTACTTTATTCCTGTCTCTTATACAC